AATGAAGCTGATGAGTAATTTAAATAATATTTTCATTTGTTCCCACTTATGGACATAAGTATTTTTGTTTCAATTAAGCAACAGTCATTGTAAATATTCACTAAAGTCCTTATTATATACACTAATCATATACAATTTATATAGATATATTGTATATAAGAAATAATACTTGTATATATGATATATAATAAGCTTAAATTAATTTGGCATAATGTAACCAGAAATGCTAACAAATACAATTATGCAAAGGCAAGAAGGAAGCTGTTCAAGTCAATTCTATAGCCAATCACAGCACATCCCGACAAAACAGTAACAGTAACAGTAACGAGAATTAGAAGAACAAACAAACACAAAAACACATAATTGCGTTTGATAAAAGGAAGCAATTTAATAAAAATGTATCCTTATAAGAGATAAAAACACTTCTTTGCCAAGGATATGCCCGCAACATTTAGCAAAAGGAAAAACCATGTAAGCGCACATCTGAGCAGCTACATCTGAGGAATTGTGTGCTTGGGAGAAGAAGTGCACAGATGTATCCTTGTTAGATACAAAAAAAAAAATCGTTTATAAATTCTGCTAACAAAATCAAGTACAAAGCAAAGTATTTATAAAACAAGCAAAGCAACAAAATAACAAAATAACAAAAATAACAGAAATAACAACAGCAAAAAGGTTTAAACGCATATGTTAACAACAAATTAACAGGACTAACTCAAGCGTAGATTAAAAAGTTTTCTGCTTTCGAATTTTCTTATTACCAAAATTTTAACAAAATATTTTTAGTTAAATCAAAGTTAAATGAATCTGAAAAATGTTTGAAAATACTTTTGAGGGGTTTGAGGGTATAGTTAAAGTTATGCCGGTAAACTTTACATTTTGAATCTCTGAGTTCATTTAATTAACATCATCTTTTTTTATGAGTGTGAGTTATTGCACAAGATATTGAATAAGTTTTGTGGTTTATTTTTTTATAGTAGCAACTATATTAGTAGTAAATCATTTCAGCTTAAGTGA